AGCGGTCCCTGGCTGCGTCGTCAGGGGCGCGGCCTAAAGGCGTAGGGTCGTCGGGCGCTGGAAGGTCACCAGTAGCGTGCGCCCAAAGGGACTCGCCCGCCTAAACTGTCAGAGGTCCACTTGGGATCCTCGATTGATCCTAGGGAAGGGTTACAGGCTCGTTGTCCTGGGGGGTTATGGGCGCACTGACCCGCTACTTAACAAGCCCTTTTATCCCAATGGTCTAGTGGTTGGGATTCTGACATGGTATCAGAGCGAAGGTCTCGGGTTCGAATCCCAGTGTGTGCACTTCGGGCATCCCAGTGCGGGGGGGTGTCAGAGGTCCACTGGGGATCCTCGATTGATCCTAGGGAAGGGTTACAGGCTCGTTGTCCAGGGGGGTTATGGGCGCACTGACCCGCTACTTAACAAGCCCTTTTATCCCAATGGTCTAGTGGTTGGGATTCTGACATAAACCTGACTCTCTAAAAGGCGACGCGCGCGTAGGAGCCACACCGGAAACTCCAGCGGTCTACCGTCAGCATCAAAGCAAAGAACCCTAGGGGTCGCCATGGTGTAAGTAGAAGCGACAAGTCCGGCGGTGGGTGGCACTGGTAGGGACGATGGGCAGCTAGGGCAAGTCCGTGACGGGCGCAAAACGCGGGCGCAACGGGGCTAGGGGCGGTCCCGCGGCGGACTAAACGAGTAGGCGCAGCCCTGCGAAGGAAGGGCCTAACGAGCGGGCCCATAGCGGACCTAACGAGGAGGCGCAGCGGCTGGCGGAACTGGCAGGCGCGGCGGCTGTAAGGGAAGGCCCACGGCGGCTGTAAGGGAGGGCCCGCGGCGGGCCTAACTAGCAGGCGCGGCGGCGGGCGGTACGGGCAGGCGCGGCGGCTGTAAGTGAGGGCCCGCAGCGGCTGTAAGGGAGGGCCCCCGGCGGGCCTAACGAGCAGGCGCGGCGACGGGACGAGCAGGGCGCTGCGGCGACGAAATGCGGGGCGTCGCGGCTACGAAACGCGGGGCGCCGCGGCGACGAAACGCGGGGCGCCGCGGCGACGAAACGCAGGGCGTCGCAGCGACGAAACGCGGGGCGCCGCGGCGACGGAAATAAAGGGCGCCGTGGCGTCAGGCACGGCGCGCGAGCGGGCGTTTAGGGCAGCGGGGGGAGGACGCGACGCGACGGGCAGGGTGGGAGGGCACATCGCGACGAGCAGTGGGGGAGGGCGTGATGGGACGGGAAGCCGGGGAGAGCGCTACGCTACGCGAAAAGCAGGTCGGCGGAGCGGGCGCTACGCTACGCTACGCGGAAAGCAGGTCGGCGGAGCGGGCACTACGAACGAGCGAGACTGGATCGGGCCGGTGCTAGGCTCGGGCAAGACGGGTACGAATAGTACGAGAGAGCGAGACAGGCTCGGGCGGAACGAACGAGGACGGGAGGAGCGGGATCCCACAGGATCCTAACCTATGTGATACCATGTCAAGAATGAAAGTGTTGTCTTATTGATAAGGGTTGAGGTACATATAGCAAACCCTAACATTTGTACCCCCTAAGACAAACCTCACTACAGGCTACAACATTTGACATCCAGATATCCTTATTTTTCTTCACTAGTAGAATGTCGCCGTAGTAACAACCTTAGCATTTTGATGTGTTTTTGGGCTAGTACTCCTGAACTAATTTGTATTATTCCCTCATTTTGTGCCATTCGAATGTTGGTTGCAGTTACGACTCACATGTTACGGTCTACTAGAGACACCTAGTCATTTTTATCCGAACGTCGGGTGACCGACGACACAATCACTCTCCTTTTTCGGTAGGTGGCATTCATGTTGCTTTTATTTTTTTCCTTTCATTCTCAGCACTGTCTTCTCGTACGGTTATTAGGAATACGATGTACTCATCAAGTTGTGCTTACCATTCTGTGCGCCGTTTTTTAGTGCAACGGTGAGTATAGAGTGTGCATTGTCTTGATCGGTTATGTTGTCTTGTGTGAAAGCATGACCATTTCCTGGCCGCGTGTTGCTGCTCACAGTGCCAGCCAGCAGCCAAACATGTTCCTTCGCGTTCGGTCTGCTCGCCCGTTCTGCGATTTATACCCGGTTTTCCTCTGTCCACGGTTCTTTTGTGCAGTGCTGCTCTCTCTCGCCTGCAGCGCTATTGCCGCCGATCGCCGAATGCTCCTCACCGAGAAAAAAATGTACGACGACGCTCTTGCTGATGCTCCCAACCCGCACTCTCCTTCGCACACGCCCTCCCGTTGGGCAAGGGTGGCTCTCTTGCTGCACGAGCGGCTCCCTCGCTGCACGCGCGGCCCTCTCGATGCACGCTTTGCCCTCTTCGCAGCATGCGCGGCTCTCTCGCTGCACGCGCTCTTTGCATATTCTTTTAATTTGCAACTATCCACTTCGTGCATCTTCATGCTCCTCATCCCGCCTCAATTCCATTCTGTTCTCCTCCTCATTGCCGTCTATTGAACCTTTGTCGTTTCCCTCCTTTTTCCGTCATGGTAACGCGCAGACAGAGCACTTTGTGCATTCGAGACCAAGACTGGCTGTTCGACTGTAGGGAGCATCACGAGGTTTAGCCTGTAAGCATCACCCTGCCCGATTTTAGCGCCCAGTTTTTCTAACACGGGGTCCTCCCCCCTTTTTCTTTTCAGAAACGAGTTCTTAGTACTCTTCAGTGTATCACGCTGGGAGGCGAGTCATACCCTTTTCAGGCTGGGATGTACAGCATGTTCGCACCTGCAATGAATGCACCTGCAGAATAGCATTCCCTGCCGTGCTCTCATGCTCCTATCTCCTCCAGCCCCCTCTCCTCCCCTTCTTCCCCACCCAACCCCCCTCCCCCGTGTCCCCCCCTGCAGCACATCCACCTACCAGTATACCAAATTCACGCTGCGCATTTCATTGCCCATCACATCGACCCCAACATTCTCCAATCCGAAATACGTAAAGAATGGCGACCTTGTGGCCGAGATCCCGTGCACATTCAAACCGGTGAAACTTTCTGCACCATACTGGGAAGGTGTCGTAGAGGAAAAGGTTTCTCTCACTACAGCTTTTGAGCCGGTCGGCACGTTGAAGGCATTGATCGACTCTGGGTTGTACGACGGAGCGGGCCACAGCCTCACGATGATCGTTAACAACTGCGACATGAAGGGTCCCGTCACAACTACTAATTCCACTGTCTGAGTGCATGTCTCGTTCCAAGCTGCTGCCTACAGTATGAATGAGAGAGCCGTTGGAAGGGTAGCTCCCATTGAGAGCAGTCTCATTAGCTCCAATTTTCCATGTATTTACGTTAACGGCATGTGCTACCTTCTTGAAAACACATGCTCCGTCCAAACGAGGCCCACATTCCATTCAAACAAAAAATCAGTTCAACACACACCACCAGCAACCAAGCCACCAGCATTCTGTCCCTCTCTCTCTCTACTCTCTCTCTCTCTCTCTCTCTCTCTCTCTCTCTCTCTCTCTCTCTCTCTCTCTCTCTCTCTCTCTCTCTCTCCGTTGAAGGCATTGATCGACTCTGGGTTGTACGACGGAGCGGGCCACAGCCTCACGATGACCGTTAACAACTGCGACATGAAGGGTCCCGTCACAACTACTAATTCCACTGTCTGAGTGCATGTCTCGTTCCAAGCTGCTGCCTACAGTATGAATGAGAGAGCCGTTGGAAGGGTAGCTCCCATTGAGAGCAGTCTCATTAGCTCCAATTTTCCATGTATTTACGTTAACGGCCTGTGCTACCTTCTTGAAAACACATGCTCCGTCCAAACGATGCCCAGATTCCATTCAAACAAAAAATCAGTTCAACACACACCACCAGCAACCAAGCCACCAGCATTCTGTCCCTCTCTCTCTCTACTCTCTCTCTCTCTCTCTCTCTCTCTCTCTCTCTCTCTCTCTCTCTCTCTCTCTCGCTCTCTCTCTCTCTCTCTCTCTCTCTCTCTCTCTCTCTCGCTCTCTCTCTCTCTCTCGCTCTCTCTCTCTCTCTCGCTCTCTCTCTCTCTCTCTCTCTCTCTCTCTCTCTCTCTCTCTCTCTCTCTCTCTCTCTCTCTCTCTCTCTCTCTCTCTCTCTCCCTCTTTTTCAAACAGTCCTTCATTGATGTAGTTACACAATACAGGCAAGGCAGGTGTGTTTGGCAAACCTTGAAACCATCGTCGCACCCTTGGCCCTGAGATTATCCAAGGCAAGCTAGGGACTCTAGACAGGCAAACCGATTCACGTGCAGTCAAGCAAGGACTTAAATCCAAAGCTAAGGTCTATACCTCTCACTCACAGGCCCATCCCCTGGTCCGGTTCATCCTCCAACACATGCCACGCCACAGGTTACCCAGCTGAGGCTCCCACTAATCACTTGGCGCATTTGTGTATGTTTCTTCTGCCGCCTCGCTGGATAGGGCGTTGGCCTGGCACCTTTTGGATCATTACTTGATGACCATTATTGGCGTTGGTTTCGAGGAGGAGTGGAGAATCCAGAAAAAGGGGACGATAGCATACAGCAATGTGCTGAGGTACAAAAAAGAGAAACATACGACATGCTACACTGCAAGTTGTCTTATCTCCTCTCAGCTGCCTCTATGCAGTCACCCGTAGTGTTTGCCATCTCGTGAAAGATGCCTCACGCAAAACCGCCCTCGCATAGATGCAGCAAAAATCATTGCAATGAATGCAGCAAGCAAATCCGTACTTTATGTGTTCATTGGTCTTGTATGTAACGAACATTCGAAGTGTAGAACGCAAATTGGGCTACGACATTCCATTAAGAGATTCTAACGAGGATCTCCCGGTCTGTTCATTGATACATATTTGAAATCATCCTCTTCTCACACTTCTTTCCCCATAGTCAGAAGCGGCAGTTCCTCCTCAAAGGCGAATCTTTGGCTGCTCTACTGATCATCTCTTACGCCTGAATCCACCTGTACTTCTTCTCTACGCGTGTCATATCCTCTCGACGGTCTCGATTTCCTTTTCGTATGTACTGCAATTTCCGATAAGAGGCTGAGCTTAGGAGATGGACTCGACTAAACCGAAGAGGGAGTCTTGGGCTGATTCAGCGGAGGAGGAGGAAGCGGAGTTAAAGGAAGCGGAGCTCAAGGCAGCTGCAGCGGCGGCGGCGGCGGAGGTGGCGGCGAAGGCCGCGAATGACGCGGAGGACGCGGAGGACGCGCCGCCGGGCCTGACGCCGCGATCTGCGGCGAAGAACGCGGAGTTCGGCGAGAGCGCGGAGAAGGCGGCGGCGGATTTGGATTCGCTGAAAGTCAGCGAAGGCGTGGTGGATCAACCCGACCTGAGCATCAAAACCGGCGAGCTGAACGACGTGCCTGATGGGTCGGAGCACGAGATTAAGAAGGCAAGTTCGTCATTTATTATTCTTCTCACAGAAATTATCCAGTTCTAAGCAAGGTGAGGCGTGGTGAATCAGCCCGACCTCAGCATCAAAACGGGCGAGCTGAACGACGTGCCTGATGGGTCGGAGCACGAGATTAAGAAGGCAAGTTGGCCATTTATTCCTCTCACGGAGATTATCCAGTTCTTAGCAAGGGGAGGCGTGGTGGACCGACCTGACTTGAGCATCAAAATTGGCGAGCTGAACGACGTTCCTGATGGGTCGGAGCATGAGATTAAGAAGGCAAGTTGGCCATTTATTCCTCTCACGGAAATTATCCAGTTCCAAGCAAGGTGAGGGCTGGTGGGTGGGCCAGCCTACCTAATCTGAGTATTAGAACCGGCGAGCTGAACGATTTGCTTGATTAAGAATGTAAGTGCGGGATTGTTGCTACGGAGGCGCCATAGGATTTAGGATGAAGGGTTTTGGTTTTAAGGTTTCTGGTTTGAGAAAAAAAAAAAACCTTGCAATTTCAGCAGAGCATGGGATTGAAAAGCCAAGCTGGATTTCGTTGCAACCGCATCCTGCACCCTTTTCACATTCCGTTTCAGCCCCCTTATGCTTGTATCGTACCATCCAATCAGGTGGTGGCAGCAGAGACGCCCTACTCGTCAGCCAAGACCTTTGAGGAGCTCAACCTATCAGAGCCCCAGTGGAGACGAAGTGCCAATCCACACTGTCGCGAGCTTTCTTCTGCTCCTTGCACCCAGCCGACACTCTCCTCTACTCCCCGCGCGAGCATGCAGGTGGTGGCAGCAGAGACGCCCCACTCGTCCACCAAGACCTTTTAGGAGCTCAACCTGTCAGAGCCGCTGCTGAGAGGGTTTCACTGCGAGATGAGGTTGAACTGACCTGGGTTGCGTGCACCCATCTCATACCCCACCCTTGCTACACCCCATAAACTACATTTTCCAATCAGGTGGTAGCAGCAGAGTCGCCCCACTAGTCCGCCAAGACCTGACCTTCGAGGAGCTCAGCGTATCAGAGCCGCTGCTGAGAGGGCTTTACCTTGAGATGATAAAGTTCCAGTTGAACCTCTCAAAAGCTCTCAAGAGCTCTCCCTAACTGGCCACACCCCACCCATCCATCCCGCATCCCATCTCACTGTTTCTTGTACCATCCCATCAGGTGGTGGCAGCAGAGACGCCCTACTCGTCAGCCAAAACCTTTGAGGAGCTCAACCTATCAGAGCCCCTACTGAGGGGCCTCTACTCCGAAATGAAGTTCGAGCGCCCCTCCAAGATCCAAGCAGTCACCCTGCCCATGATCCTGCAACCTCCGAATGCCAACCTCATTGCACAGGTGGGTATCCATTCATGCAGTCTATGATTCACCTGCAGTCAAGTGCTTCAGTCCTGAATTGATCCTGCAGGCCTATCACTCTGCCCCTCCCGGTGATCCGCTACCACCACCCTATTCCCCCCTCCTCCATCTCCGCCTTCCCAATCCACACCTGTCGGGCAAGACCACATGCTTCGTGCTGGGCATGCTGTCACGGGTGGACCCGCAACCCTAACTCCTCTCTCCTCCCTTCTCCCCCTACCTACCCCCTCCTTGTTCCCAACCCCCCCATCAGGCGCACAACGGGTCGGGCAAGACCACATGCTTCGTGCTGGGCATGCTGTCACGGGTGGACCCGCAGGTCAAGGCCCCGCAGGCCCTCTGTATCTGCCCAACTCGCGAGCTGGCCCAGCAGGTGAGACGGGAGGGAGTGGGAGGGAGAGCATGGCAGGAAGGGAAAGAGTGGGAGGGGGCGAAGCGTGTCGGACAGTCGGTCGCAGGTCAAGGCCCCGCAAGCCCTGTGCTTCTGCCCCACGCGTGAGCAGGCGCAGCAGGTGAGAGGGAAGGTGGCGAAAGTGCTTGCTGGCCTGGTGCTCTTCCTCTTTTGCCGGTACGAGCTTTCCACTTTCTCCGTTTCCCCCTTCCCGCCTCTCCAGAGTGAAGCAGTGCTGCTGCGTATTGCCATGTACGCGGGCATCACAAGCGCATGCACTCCCGGCGTCAGAGGGCACGGGCACCATCGTGTTGTCATCATCGCAGCAAACAGATTCACTCCTCTTTTCCCCCCTGTTTTCCTCCCTTCCTTCCCCCACTTGTCTCTTCTCTCCTCCCCCATCAGAACGAGGCAGTGTTGCTCCGCATGGCCAAGTACACGGGCATCACGTGTGTGTGCACGGCAACGGAGGGCACGGGCACCATCGTGACGTCCTCACAGCAAACCCCTTCCTTTCTTCTTACCCCCGCTCCTCTTTCCCTTACCAGAACGAAGCTGTATTGCTCCGCATGGCCAAGTACACGGGCATCACGTGTGCGTGCACAGCGTCAGAGGGCACGGGCACCATCGTGATGACCTCACAGCAGGAGTGGCTGGGCGACCAGGTGGTGATGGGCACTCCCGGCACGCTCAAGCCTGGCATGCATTCCCTCCCTTTTCCCCTTCTCCCCAATGTGTTTCTGTGTAGAACGAGGCAGTGCTGCTGCGTATGGCTAAATACACGGGCATCACATGTGCGTGCACGGCGTCAGAGGGCACGGGCACAATCATATCGTCCTCGCAGCAGGAGAGGCTGGGCGACCAGGTGGTCATTGGCACGCCCGGCACGCTTAAGCGCTGGATGACCAAAGATCGTATTCTCCCCGTGAAGAGTATCAAGATTCTGGTGTTTGACGAGGCCGACCACATGCTGGATCAGGTGCGTGTGTCTGTGGCTATGACTGGCTGGCAGTTGTGTACCTTGAAATCTGACCATGCACGTGCTCTTGAGTGCCCAAGTGCCGGATGACCAAGCACCGCATCCTGCCTGTCAAGAGCATCAAAATTCTGGTGTTTGATGAGGCTGACCACTTGCTGGATCAGGTGGGCTGACTATGACAGGCAGGTGCACATACCCTTAATTACACTCGGGCCATGTACACACTCTCACTCGCTCACCATGTGCACTGTTTCACGGCGTGCTCTTAAACTCCTCTTTTCATTTTGTAGAGATTGCGTTTTGGAAGGTCTCAAAACACAAGTGCGCATGTGCGTGCGGGTAACCCATTTTTTCCCTTCTCATCACTTGTTTGCGTTCCCGTGTGTGAGCAGGACGGGTTTCAAGACGACTCAATCAGAATGATCCAATTCATCACCAAGAGCAACCCCACCTGCCAGGTAAGCAGCCCCACCTGCCAGGTAAGCAGCCCCACCTGCCTAGTAAGCAACCCCACCTGCCAGCTAAGCAACTTTTCTAGATGCTCTCATTGGCTGGGCGTCACCAAGTACCGCATGCATACTCCTACCCTCCTTCCCCTCTCCCTGTTATCCCCGCCCCTGCAATCCCCTTCCTCCTCCCTCCGCTCTTCTCCCACGCCCCTCCCAGATTCTCCTATTCTCAGCAACCTTCAACGAGCGGGTCAAACGCTTTGCCCAGCGAGTGGTCCCCAGCGCCAACCAGGTGTACGTGCCAAAGGAGCAGCTGTCTCTGGACGTGATCAAGCAGTACCGCGTGCGCGTGCCCTCTCGTGACGCCAAGGTCGTGGTGCTCAAAGACAAGATCTTCCCCGCCGCTGAGAAGCTCGGCCAGTCCATCATCTTCGTCAAGACGCGTGAAACTGCCCGAGATCTTCACAGGTCCGTTCCTTGTTCTTACGTTTCTTTGGGGGGCAGGGGAAGGGAAAGGGGAGGGCAGGGAAGGAAGGCGAGCAGTGGTTTCGAGGGTTGGGGCGAGTCGGAAAGCGCAGGTAACAGGAGTGCGCTGATGGATCATGGAGAGGGACAAGAAACCGCGTGTGCTGAGTCGATTTTTGAGTCGACTCAAAAATCGACTCAGTGCGCTGTTGGATCATGGAGAGGGACAAGAAACGCTGGTGTGTGAAGAAGGGGCATTCAGCACTTCTTGTCCCTCCAGGCACGTATCTGTATCTGTCTGAGTGGAGGACGTTGAGTGCAGCTGTATCTGTCTGGATGGGTGGGATCTAGCAGTGCCGACACAGCCACTCAGCTGGCGGCAAGAAGCGGAGGACGGATGCGGCTCTGATGAGTCTTACGAGTCTTTTTGAGTTGACTCAGTAGGCACGATGTTGCACGAGGAGAGCAGAGAAACGACGTGACCCGCGTGTTCCACAGAAGGAGCCTTTATTCTTGTTCCTTTCCTCCCTCCTCCCTCCTCCCTCGTCTTTCTGTTTAACTCATCCCCCCCCTGTGCCCCTCTTTCAGGAAGCTGGAGGCGGACGGGCATCGGTGCACGTCCATCCAGGGCGGCATGTCGCATGAGGAGAGGGACGATGTGATTCGCGAGTTCCGCAGCGGCACCACCAAGATCCTCATTGCTACTGATGTGCTGGCGAGAGGGTTCGACCAGGCACAGGTGAGAGCAGGGGGGAGCGAAATGGCAGGGGAGGGAGTGGAGACGGTGGGCAGATGAAGGGCATACCTGCGGCACCACCAAGATCCTCATCGCCACTGACGTGCTCGCTAGAGGGTTCGACCAGGCGCAGGTGAGAGCAGGGGGGGGGTGAATTGAATTGGGGGAGGAGGGAGTGGTCCGGGTGACCAGATGAAGGGCATACCTGCGGCACCACCAAGATCCTCATCGCCACTGACGTGCCGGCCAGAGGGTTCGACCAGGCGCAGGTGAGAGCAGGGGGAGATGGGAGAGGGGGTTGTTGAGAACTGTGTGCCTGCAGCAGCTCCAAGATCCTCATCGCCACTGACGTTCTGGCGAGAGGGTTCGACCAGGTGCAGGTGAGAATGGGGGTGCAGTGCAGGTTTGGAAGGACACAGGCGACATTGGGATGGGGAAGGACTGCACCACATGGGCTTGCGTGTGCTTTTGGCACCGGCACCACCAAGGTCCTCATCGCTACTGACGTGCTGGTGAGAGGCTTCGACCAGGCGTATGTGAGCTGAGAGGGGAGTGCTGGAGCAGGTGAGGAGAGCATGTGGTCGGGTTTTCTTATATAATATGTTTGCACCCCATTGTCATTGTGCTTTCACAAGCCACACCGCCACTAGGACTGTTCTGATTGCGATTGGTTTGCCTTCCAGGGCTTCATACAGGCTCCAACAACCCTTTGGTTTGTTCTGTTTTTTTTTACCCTAAACCCTTTCTTTCATTCTTTCTTTCTTTCTTCAGAAGTGCTATTTAGTCGCCTCAAATTACCTCGCTGCTCTCATACAGAAGTTTCAGGAAGGTGAGATTTCTGCAAATGGGATTCCTGCTTCTCTTATTTTTTCTCCCACCCCTCCCCCCCCCCCTTCTCTGCCATGCCCTGCGTTGCTCCCCCCCCCCCACCTGGGTAGGTGACACTGGTGGTAAATTTCGATCTGCCCGTGAAGAACGCGCCTCCCAACGAGCCAGAGTACGAGACCTATCTCCATCGAATTGGTCGCAGCGGGCGGTTCGGCAGAAAGGGTAAGGACTGAAATAAGTCGTATGATTACTCTTTAAATCAAGAAGCGCATCTCCCAACAAGTTTGTGTATCTTCCTCCACGAGCAAGCCATCCCAGTTAGGACACGTTTCATTCTGCACAAGTCCCATTCCAAGTCCTGTCACTCTTCCACTCTAAACAATTTTCGTCCCTCTTTCCTTTTGTCACCTTCCTCTCCTTTGGTTCAGGTGCTTCGTTCAACCTGGTGTGCGGGGAGAGGGATGAGCGCACACTGAACAAGATCGAGAAACACTTTGACCGCGTCATTCCTGATGTGAGTGAACAATGATGAGAGAATGATTGAGCATGCGAGACTGATTGAGCATGCGAGACTGATTGAGCATGTGAGACTGATGTGAGACTGAATGAGAATGTGATACTGATTGAGAATGTGAGACTGAATGAGAATGTGATACTGATTGAGAATGCGAGACTGAATGATAATGTGATACTGATTGAGAATGTGAGACTGGTTGAGGATGTGAGACTGATTGAGCATCCGAGACTCATTGAGCATTTGAGACTGATTGAGGGGATATTGTTTGTGTGATGCATGTTAAATCCTAAGCCAGTCTTTTCATGAGTGATACTCACTTGTAAATCCATCAAAATGGTCATTCAATAGGGATCCTTCCTCGGTCACTTTCAAAATCTCTCGCACTTCCCATCAGTGTCTTATCAATGGACGTCAATTTCCTATGATCCTTCACCAGTGTTCATTAATTGCCAAATGTCTCATTAATTTCCGTTAATGGCTTGTCAGTGTGTGCCATGTGCCATACGCTTCGTCCTGGTGATTCATACTGCAATGCTACCTTCATAACACCATCTACCACACAATGGGCAAATAACTGCTTCCAGCCCTCATCCCCTACCTTTAGTGCCACCCCTAGCTTCATCCCCAACCATCACTCTCCTTTCCCCACCCTTTCCCCCTATCGAACCAGCCCCCCCCCCTTCCCACACTGCAGGTGCAATGGGATGGTGACGATGCCTTTACGAAGGTTCTCAAGGGTGGAAAGGGGTCGTGTAGTGTGAGTCGACTCAAAGTGCATCAAAATCCACCTGCTCCATCCATGTCCCTCTGCCTTCCCACACTGCAGGTGCAATGGGACGATGACGATGCCTTTGAGAAGGTTCTCAAGGAGGCAGGCCTCGCTTAAAACACCCACTGTACCATTGGGATCATACAAAAAAAAAAAAAAAAAAAACACCATGTGCCATGGGCTGCATACACCATGTGTCATCATGGAAGAGGCGCCATGCACAATGCAAGCACGTGTGGGCCATCCACTCCCTGTCATCTCCCCCAGGGTGATAACCATGCGTTTCACACAACCTCGTGTTTGGTCTTTTAGGGTATTTGGGTATTTCATCTGTTAATGAGTTGAGCATTCTTTTAGCCTTCTGTCTTGTCCAGAGGCTGTTTTAGTTGGAGCTCTCTAGGCAGTACACCTTAGGATTGGTGGTCTCCTAGTATTGCAAGCATTCCAATTACACTTTGATTGAAACTCTGTTCTCGTTATGACGTATGGTACAAAGGGTACCACATTTTGTAGATTTCGAGTGAGATGCTTTGACAGTCAAAGCTCCCTCGAATGCCTGTCTGCAGCAGGCCTGTCGAAGTTCCTGGGGCCCATACTTGGAGTCCCCAGCTCCTCCCTATCTGACCCTGTTTTGGCCGTAGCTGAGTGTTTTGGCGCCCTTAACGGTCACGGGCGCAGGCCAAAGTGAAAACTTGAAATCCGGGCTTGCACTTGCACTATCTTAGCTAAGGGAAAGTTCGGCTGCTCCAAAGCTGACTTAGAGATATCACAAACACGGGATTGGCTAGAAAACGCTAAGGGAAAAATCCCTTTGGCACACTCTCGTGCAACCTAAGGAGAAAGGGGGGGGGAGTGGGGGGGTCAGGCAGAATTTCTTGGGGGGGGAGGGTCCTAGAACCGGAAATCAAGACTTTGTGGGTGGGGAAGGCCTGGTTGGAGCACTTAACGCATCCGGGGAAGGGTCGAACGAAGCACTTAGTGGCACGGGTGCAGGGCGATCCTAACACTTTATGCAGTCGAGCTGGAGCGAAAGTAGCCCGGAATGTTCAGGGCATTAAGGGCATATGCCCGTCAATCGACAGGCCTGGTCTGCAGTCGATAGTGCAGGCGCAGTGACCCATTTTCATTGCAAGCTCCACCCAGGAGAGATCGCGTTGGGGTTGCCATAGCATTTCCTTACTCTCTTGCTGCTCGATCCGTCACGCGTTTGAAACTAATTTTGCTGACTCCTTGCAATTATTAGTTCGCTTTGGCGGTCCTGAATTCCGATGACCAGAGCATCTGCACAAGATGGTGATCGAGGTGGCGGAGATGGTCTATCGAGGCTTTCCGATGAGGAGCTTCGTCTCGTGTTGGATAAGATTTCATGTGCCAAGGACGTCCTTCGTGCGGCGGCTACGTGCAAACGGTGGAAACGACTCGCTTTTCAGGTAAGTTCTGATGCGACTGGCTCCAGTCGTCCTCGCATCTCAATACCACCGACTTTGTTTATTTCCTCCCTATTTTGTTCTCTACTAAGTAAACCTGTCATCACTTCTCCAGGGCCCGTTCTTGGAGTTTGTGGGATATAAAGGGCTTTTACCCGAGCGAGCTCTTACCCGGTTGGTTCTGAAAACTTCGAGTTTAATTTCACTCTCCGCGGTATTCGAGGAAGCTCCAAACAGTGTCGAAGCTTCAAACCTTCATGATCAAAAGCAATCGGAGCATTACCTTCTGATGTGGCTTCGCCATTGCCCCAATCTGACAAGTCTCTGCTTTGCGGCATCCGAAGGCTTCATTAAGCCACGATGGTTAAGCCATATCGTCTCTCATGCGCCGAATCTTCGGGCCCTTTGCCTTACGGGCTCGGATTTCCGGCCAGATTCTCTGGATGCAATGTCCTCACTGAAGAGTTTGGAGGAGTTAGAGTTGGAATGCCAATGGCTCAAAGGAGATGGTCTTGCTTGCCTCACAAGCATCAGCAACCTGCAGAAGTTGACATTGACGGTGCGTGCGGGCTTTAAAGACTCATTTAGTAGCCAAACTTTGAGGTTCCTGTGTTTGAAGTCCGGCTCCAGGCGCGAGAGATATATCTATGCTTACCGGACAGGTTTCGATCTGAAGCTGGATCTCCCTGCTTTGGAAACTCTGAAGCTGGATTGCGTGGCACGGCTTCTTGTGAGCAAATCGCCCCTGCTTACGCATTTGGAGCTTGACTGCCTGTATAACGACATAACTTTCACAAATCCGCCACAATCCCTTCGCTTTCTTGCCTTGCGAATGCAAAGCCTTGATGAGGATTTCCAAGCTGAAGCCTTTCTGCTGCCAAGTGTTCCCAGTATTCGGGATCTTTGTCTTGAGGGGAGAATGGGTCCTCTTGCAAGTTGTGTGCTTCCATCTCTCAAGTCCCTCTCAATGTCACTCGACCCGTTTCCTTTTCAAGGAATGAGGGACTTGATGACTCGATCTCCTGGAATTACCTCTCTTAAGTGGTTCCTTGATGCTGAGTTATACCCTGCGTGGTATCGCAAAGATGGCCCTTCACCAGATGAAATTGCAAGAGCCCTGGGCGAGATCATAAAGGTGTGCAGATCCCTCAAGATTGTGAAGGTGGTCTTCATGGACAGCTCAGTTCGCCTCTTCACTATTGCAAATTGCTTCCTGAAACTGCAGAAGGCTTTTCCATGTTTGGACTTCTCTTTCCACTTTGATCTTGATGTAGATGAGTCCGAGAGCGATCCTTCTGGGTCAGACAGCGAAGTGGAGTCTAGTAGTGATTCCGATTGACGAATGTACGGCACGGCACCACCAGTAGATGCATGTTGGCCTTGCATGTAATCCGTTGAGTAGCTTGTTGTGTCACTCTGGAGGTCATAGATTCCATACCACAATATCAACGCTTCCCAGCATCAATTGGTCTTACACTTGTTTATGTATAACTTCATCAGTGCTTTTATTACCATAGAGCAGTTATTTTCTTACGAACACTTTCATCAGTCCATGCTCAGACCTTTGCAATGGGGTAATTGTGGCTGTCCTTGAAGTGCTCTTTACATCATGCATGCACTCAGCTCATCTTGCTGACTCATACTCCCCTACTAGCTCCTCCAGGCTGGTAACATTGGCATGTCTGGATTAGCATTAGCATGTAAGGAGTATGCATTGGAATTTGGCATGGTGTATGGACTGGTTGGCAAGTCTTGGGAGTTGTAGTCCTCGCACCTAAAACTGCACATTACATCACACCTACGTATCTTTGCTCCAAGCACTACCCCACATGCATGCATCATGAAACAGATAAGGGTCACATGAGTTGCAACAGACCAGAATATCAACTGATTCACAAACACCATTCACTCATTGGCCATTGCCCAACCAGACACCCCGCACCAGCATTCCTCATTAGTGCCTAATGCAGCCTGCGACCATGCGCCTCCCTCCCTGCCAAGAGAAATGAGACCACTCAAGCTACCACTGCCGCCCTCCCCACCGCAGCACTCATCACTGCAGTCCCCTGGATGATTTCTGAGACAGCTCAAACAGATACCACCACAGCCCTCCACGTACAGTCCCCTGGATGACTCTCGAGTCGACCCACACATGGCCACCAGCTCACTGCTGAAGCTCTCCCTGCACGCCACTTTCACTGACTTGTAAGGCGACTTCACTCAGACAGCTCCACCATTGCAACCCTCCCCACACGCCTCCTGAATGGCTTCTAAGAAAGCTCGAACATCACCAACTCACCGCAGCTCTCCCCATCCTCCCCTTTCAGTGACTTTTGAGACTTGGCTCAACTCAAGCAGCTCACCATTGCAACCCCACCCACATGGCCTCCTGGATAACCTCTGAGACAGCTCCTCAACCATAACAACCACCACCACCGCACTGCAGCTCTCCCCATCCGCCCTCCTCGGTGACTTCAAGGCGACTCAAACATCTCCACCACTGCCGCCCTCCCCACATGCCTCCCTGTCATGCAACCCCTCCCTGTCATGCAACCCCTCCCTGTCATGCAACCCCTCCCCATCACCGAGAAACGGACGGAATTCCCCAGGTGATTGCATGACGCCAGCAGGCACGGCATCAGCAGGCATGACGTCAGCAGGCATGACGTCATCAGGCATGACGTCAGCAGACGCGACGTCAGCAGGCATGACGTCAGCAGGGATGACGTCAGCAGGCATGACGATAGCAGGCATGTCAGCAGCAGCAGTGAGAGGGCCGGAGGCAGAGGAGGTGGCAGCAGACGTGGCAGCAGCAGGAGAGACGGGCAGTGGAGACGTGGCAGCAGCAACATGCGAAGGAGAGAGAGGAGCGGTGGAAGGAAAAGAAAGCGGAGTTGCGGTAACGGCAGCAGGGAACGTGGGAGTCGCAGCAGCAGGAGCAGCAATAGGAGCAGCAGCAGGCGCAGCAGCAGGGGCAGCATCACGGTTAGCAACAGCAGCAGCAGGAACAGGAACGGAGGGAAGAAATATTCGACCCCCCAACCCCCCCACGCGCCAGTCATCCGTCCTCTCCCGCTCCGCCTTGAACTGCTTCATATCCTCGATCATCTGCTTCTTCAGCCGTAACACCAGGTTGTATTGCGCGGTAACCGCATCCCGCCTCACGATGAGCGTTTCGTAGCGCACGGAGGCCATGTCGCAGCGCGCCAGCACCACCTTGTGCTGCGCGATGGCCTTCTGAATCAGCGCCACCACCACCTGCTCCCGCTGCACCAGCCGCCCTAGCTGCGATGCCAACGCCTCTGGCGCCGGCTGGGGCGGAGGATGAGCCTCCTGCTGCTGCTGAGTAAGCGTCTCCGCCTGCTCCCGCTGCACCAGCTGGCCTAGTTGCGATGCCAGGGCCTCTGGCGCTGGCTGGGGCCGCTCTTGCCGCTGCTCCTGCGCCTGCCTATGCTGCTCCTCCTGCTGAGGATGACCCGGCTGCTGCTGCTGTTCCTGCTGTTCCTGCTGTTCCTGCTGTTCCTGCTGTTCCTGCTGTTCCTGCTGTTCCTGCTGTTCCTGCTGTTCCTGCTGTTCCTGCTGTTCCTGCTGTTCCTGCTGTTCCTGCTGTTCCTGCTGTTCCTGCTGTTCCTGCTGTTCCTGCTGTTCCTGCTGTTCCTGCTGTTCCTGCTGTTCCTGCTGTTCCTGCTGTTCCTGCTGTTCCTGCTGTTCCTGCTGTTCCTGCTGTTCCTGCTGCTCCTGCTGCTCCTGCTGCTCCTGCTGCTCCTGATACTGCTGCACCGCCTGTTCCTGTTCCTCATGCTCCTGCCGCTGAGAAAGCACCTGCTGCTTTTCCTCTTCCTGCCGCTCGCCTGCATCTGCACCGGTCCCACTAGTTACCTCGCCCTCTGCCCCACTTGGCACCTCTGCACGCCCACACGCCCCCACAGCCTCTGCACCGCTGCCCCTGGATTCATCTTCAGCTGCTCCAACCGCACCACTCGTCTCTGGCGGTGGCTCAGCCTGGGATTCGTGCGACTGGAGCGCCACTATTGCCACTGCTGCTGATGATTCTGCTGCTGTAAATGGTTCTGCTGCTGGTGCTGGTGAATCAGTCGTTGGTACGGCAGTAGCAGCCGAGATACCACTTGACCACCTCTCCTCCGCTGACCGGCTTGATTCTGCCGTCACCGGTCGTGCTGACCTGTCAAACAGCAGGCTTCCACTTGGGCCAGCCACGTCAGCAGCCGGCCGTGCTGACCTGTCAAACAGCAGGCTTTCAGCCAGGCCAGCCGTGTCAGCAGCTCTGGCTGCGGCCGCTTCGAATTTCAGCCGCCATTTCCCGCCAACAAATTCGTCTCCTTTTGTTGCTGCGAGTGGGGTGCTGCGCGGGGGCGCACCTGGTGCTTCATCTAGAGGCGCATCAGAAGCGGAGGGCGCGCAGGAAGCAGCAGGCGCGCAGCTCTCTCGCGCGGAAACAGAGCCGCTCTTGTGCGCAGCAAGGGCGCGCGGACAAGCCCCCGTGGCGCGGAGATGCTCTCCGCGCAAGCCTCCCCAAGCGGCAGCGGAGCCCTTCCACCGCGTCCCCGCCACACACGCGGAAGCCTCCAGCTGCCCTTCCGCCTCCACCACCTCTACCGCGCACAGGCACTCCCCGCACCCCGCGCAATCCCCCCTCTTCCCCCTCCCCTCCCCCGACCCTGAGCCGCCGCTTCCTTCCCCGCTCGAAGAGCACCCCCGCGCAATCTCGTCTTCCGCTTCCGCCAAGACCTCCCCCGCCGGGCTCGCTTCCGCTCCCCTTCTTGCTCCCCCCATCGCTTCCGCCGCGGCGGCGGCGGCAGCAGCCGCGAGGTACTGCCCTTGCGCCATGAGGCGGTCGCGGTCCGCCTCGAGCGCAAGCTTCTCCGCGCGGAGCTCCGCCTCGACGCGCTCGAGCGCCTCCTCGTCGGCGCGCAGCAGCAGGTGCTCGCGGCGCAGCAGGTCGCGCTCCGCCTCGAGCAGCGCCTTCTCGTCGTCGAGGCGCAGCACCTGGCGCTCGACGCTCGCCTGCTGCGCGTCGATCTGCACGTTCTCGAGCAGGTGCAGGTGCAGGTTGCGAAGCGTGCGAAATACGAGATCGCCCATCGCGAAGGGTGATCGCTACGGTTACGGTTTCGTGTGTCGTCAGTTACTGTGCGAAGGCCTGTTTTTAGGAAGCAGATTGGAGTTGCCAATAGATGGCTCCAAGTGAAGGGTAAGTGTAGAAGCAACAGCCGCAAAACAGACTTGAAAGCTTAAACAAGAAGAACAAATAAGACCAGCACAATCGCTTCGGGATGTAAACCTAACTGCCGAAACGCTAACGGAAACAAACAAGAACACGGATCAAGTATGGCGAGACGAGAGGCGTGTCAGTGAAGTCTGGGTGAGGCCATAGATGGTTGGGAAAAGATCAACCAGGGGCCGAACATCGCCAGAGGAGTGTTCAAAGTAGGGCCGGTATATCTCGACCGTAGGATTTCAGCCCAGAGCTGCCCAAGCGACTTGGCGAACAAGCCGAACCGGAAGTAAACGATATTTGCTAGAAGAACCAAATTGTGTATTCATGGTTTTTATTGAGGGTTTTGACCTCCGTCTACTACAGCGCGCGCGTCGCCTTCTTCTGGAAGTAAAGTTCGGCGGATCAAATCGTGAGTACGTATAACATATTATATTCTGGGTGATAAATATCACCTACCCGAACGTAGACGCACTGGAAAAAAATATATTACCCATTCGGAAACAGATGCGACTCGGGAGGCATCAACCCTAAATACCAGGAAGTTATCCGTTTTAGGGTTGACCCATCCCGAAAACGCATCCAGGTTCCCTAAGAGTTGTAGTTTTTTTTGGCCGCCCTAAGAGTTTCCAGTAGAGTCGGCTCGCTAAACGACACGCGAGCGAAAATGCGAGCCGGTACATGCCACTAATAACATAATTACGTGCAATAAAGGAAAACCCTATGTTAATCCCTCTATGCGCAGCGGTTTGGGAAGTTCCGGGCCTCTCGGTCCCTGGTTGATCACCCCTCTAGCACTGTTCGGCCCCTCGTTGATCTTTTCCCTAGATGGTTGAAGCAACGGGCATGATCCAGCCATGGCTGACAGCTTACGTGTTCTTACACCTCGGTAATAGGGAAACGCTGTAAGCGCGAATCGGCTGTACTGAGCATGAATAATCCAATTTGGAACAGCATGACAGCTCATTTCAACCCAACATAGGCACACATAGTTTTCCAGTTTGTTTGTATTAGGATAACGCATGTGTAATAGGATGATACTGAAAACTGCATATATAGGCTGAGTCTTTCTCAAGCTTCTTACTGCTTAAGTACATCACCATTTATTTCTTATTGATAATGGTAAATTCTGCAGTCATATTTTTTTTCTAAGGTTCTCAGTTCTTGACGTTGGCAGCACACTTTATTTTCAAGATTTACTGTAAGAACACAAACAATGCAAAGGTCCTAGTAGTCAGTGAATGTGCTTCTAATCCTACCCAAGTTTCTACTCGCAACCTTCCAGAGCGTACAGACCTTCGGACCGCCTGCTGCTGGAAACCTTGCTGAGATTAGTTGAGTGTAACGCGTGTTGACTGTTAGGGGCGCTGCTAGTCGCGGATGCTTCTAACGAGGGAGCTACGCAGCTGCCAGAACCCAAAAATCCGAATCCCGTGAAAACGTCACGGTCGCTGCAGCTTGACGGCAGCGATGAGCTGAAAATGGAATCCATACCCGTTGACCGTCCGCTGAAGCTGACGGTGCCGTCAGAAGAGCTGGGCATGTCTTCCTCACCCAGAGCTACAAACTCTTCACCCTCGATACTGTCGCATCGTAAAAAATCCCCATTGCCTTCGTCCCAAAATGAAGAGCCAAATTTCTGCTCAGGAATAATGTCGGGTAAAATTGCAGCCTCCGCCATTTCTGTGACTGCAAAATCTGCTGCCATGAAGAAATCCTCAGTTGTTGCTGTCGTCGCTGGCATGTCCGCTGCTACCGCGAAAGGCGGCTCTGCTACCGTTAGAGGCGCTTCCACGGACGCATCCAGGCCGAAGCATGCTGGGGTGAGCTCTTCCAACTCAGCTGCTGACCAATCCACGTCAGCTTCAGCTGACGTCGCAATGGCTGCAGACCTTGGCTCTGCTACCTCAGTTTGAAACTCAGTAGGTCTGTTCTTAGTCGCCACTGGAGAAGCAGCTTCCTCCCCCCCGCTGTTGTCACGCATGATACAGTCAACACTGCGTCCAGAGCCCGTTTGAGCGTCGCTATTTTTCTTAATCACACTGACGGCTGCGTCTGTGCTACCCGCAGTAGCTGCAGCTCGTTCCGCCAGACCCTCCTGCCTGCTTCCACCAGCAGCCGGCTTGATATCGCTCCTACCAGCGCTTTGCTCTCGAAGCGTGAGGGCCGTTGCGTCCGCCGCTTTTTCCGGAATGTCGTCCATCATCAGAGCCTCCTCCCACCAGCTCTTCTTAGGACCATTATCACCTCTCTCCGCCCCTGCTCTTGCTCGCTGTACCCCTGTGCGCCCATCTCCACCGCATCCAGCCTCTTCCCCATCGACCTCGCACACGGCAGGCCACGTCACCACACTGTATTCCCCTTCCGCGCCTTTCCCCGCGCCCATCCCCCACGGCCGATGCCCTTCCGACTTGGCCTTCTTTCCCACGGGTCCAAACACGCCAAATCCAAACGGATCTCCTCCCGCCTGCGCCATCCAATCATCCTCGTCCACGTCAGCAGCCATGGAATCCGCATCTCGCCAGTCACCAGCGACGGAGCCGAAGGCGCCATTGCCGTCGGACGCGGCTCGCATCGTCGTCCTGTTCCGCGCGAGAATAGGCTCGGATGACCACGACGCGTTCGAGACAGACGGATGAACGCCGCTACCCGCCGTCTGGATTGGCTGCATTGCGGCACCCGCACCCGCACCCATAGCTGTACCGGTAGCTGTAGCGGTAGCGGCGGGCGCAAAGGAGTTGTCGCGCACATCGCGCAGCTCGCGCAGGTCAGGCGTCGCCTCGGCGGCTTCGCGGACCGTATCCATCGCGGAACGCTTCCGCGTGATGGGGACGGGAGAAGGAGTACAGGGGGAGGGCGCGCAGGCGGAAGGCGCGGAGGGGAGCTGAGGGGCTGTGACGGTACGAGGTCTCGAGGTATCATGAAGCGGTTGGGGCAATTGCTGGATGAGGAAGGGAAGGTGCAGCAGGGGTTTGGGCTTCTGCGCGGATTTCGATACCGGCGTGCGCGCAAGAGCGGCGGCGGGCGCTGCACCAAGCGGAAAGTGTGAAGCAGCCGGAGTCGGGGTAGCAGCGGGCGCTGTTGTAGTGATAGTGATTGCGGGGACGGACGGGACTGGGGCGGGGGAGACGGGGAGTGCGGGGACAGAGGGCGCGGGGCTTGGCTGGATGATGGCAGCACGGGGGAGCATGAGGGGGGAGAAGACAGAGTTCTGCTGAGGGGCAGAGTGGGACGTACGCGGCACTGGCGCGGATTGCGGCTGCGAATGAAACTGCTGGACACGCGGCTGAACCTGCATCTGCTGCTGCTGCTGCACCTGTTGCTGCTGCTGCACCTGCGGCGACTGCTGCGGCTGAGCTTGTGCCGTCGCTTGGGTGACCGAGTGGGTCTGTTGATTGGACGCGGAAAGCGGGGCGGAGAGCCGAGGCTCCTTGGGAAAATTCAGCTGCGCCTTTGGTCCACGGATCTCCCGCGCAGCCTCGTCGTACGCGCGAGCCGCCTCCTCGGGAGTGTCGAACGTCCCCAGCCACACTCGCCCGCGCCCGCCAGCGTCGCGGATCTCCGCCGCCCACCGACCCCACGGCCGGTACCGAACGCCGCGATACGGCGCAGGTTGAGCGTTCCTCCCCTCACTCGCGTTCTGCCCGCCACTCGCGTTGCTTCCACCGCCACTCGCGTTCGGTCCACTGCTGTTACCCCGAGCGCCTGCAGCGGAGAGTCCTCCGCCGCTGCTGGCGCTGCGACCGACTGCCATCTGGTGCTGCTGCGGCTTGCTCCGCTCCGAAAACGGCGCGCAGCTTCGCACAGGGCTGATTGGGTGCGACCTGCTGCCTGAAACGGTCGACGGGGTGGGATTGGACGGAATGGTGACGGTCTGACCCTGGTGCACGGAAAGCATTTGACGGATGGCCTCCTGAACCTTGCCGGCGATGAGAAACTGCTGGCTGGGAGTTGGCGGCGACGTCAGTGTAACTGGCGGAACGGCTGTCTTAACGATAGGGGCAGAAACCGTCGCCATGCTTCTGGGGGATGTAGCCTTGGGAGACTCGCTAGACGGTTCGCTAGCGTCCATCTGCCTGGCTGGTTCGATCACGCAGCTGCAGTTGACGCAACGAGTGCATGCTGGCGTTGTCGCAACGCTGCTATCTACTGCTAAGGGCTGAGGAGGCGTGTCGTGATCGGATGAGGGGTTGCTCGACTGGAGCCACTGATCGAACTCGTCGGCCATTTCTTCAAGAATCGTCTCATGATCGCATGAGCTCATTCCCAGCTGCTAGACTATCGTGCCCTAGCTTGCTTTGCTGGTTTTGGGATGAAATGGGAGATTTCGGTTTGTTTTGCGAATGATGTTTGAGAGGCAAATGGGCGGCTTTTCTTGCTAAAAAACAAGTGGGAAAATGTTGTCGGTGGCGTGTTGAAATTGGCCATTCATCACCTTCCTAGCACCCAGCCCCCCATCAGTGACAACGGATACGGGGAAGCTGGGGGACGGAATCGGTGCGTTTGCGGCGAACATTTGGAGGCGTTTGAGAGGCAGGATGTGGGGCGGGGGGGAAGGGGAGATGGGCGGGAAGGGGGAAGCAGGCTTTCCGCGTAGGCGAGGTGCTTCTGCCTGGGCGTGTGGGCGGAATTAACGAGAGGTGGACGGACACGGCGGTGGGCTGACGCGGCGGAAGGCAGTTTCGCGAAAACTCGGCTGGCATAATCAGCCTGTTGTCGACGGTGGATATTGCTTTGTCAACGAAGGCAGACTCATCCAGCGGTAAACCGGTAACGTAGCGAGTTATCCTGTTACAAGTGCACTGCTAGCGAAACTAAACCAGGGCGCCACGGCAAAGCGGCTTTGCGATGCGTCGCCGGCAAATTGACCACAGTCAGCGCATCGATTGCTTTCTCGATTTGGATTCAGCTGTCCAATCAACTCCCTACCCCTTGCTTGCCGGGCACTCACCAAGATGTTGATTGTGGATTTTGGCCACGGCCGGCCGAAAACAGAGGCGAACTGACTGAACGTCCAGTTTACGGCCACGCGTCACAAATTCGTAGGATGAAGTCTACCCGGGCGTTACTAAAATGGTACAATGTGACGAATTTTGCCGGTTTAGCCGGCCATAAATTCTGAAAATAATGATGGCCTGCCCGTGTCGCTGACCCAGATTGGAAACGCAAAGCCGTGGTCTCGTCGGGACAGGTCAAGCTGGCTGAGCCAAGGTCCAAGGTTCGTCCACGCTGACATGTGGACCTGATCAAGGTGTAACGGCGCGACTTCAACCCGTCCGCCGTCGCCTGGCATCTACACCTGGACTTTAAAAAACGCGTGAATGAAGTTCTCATTTTGTGATTATTATGATTAGTAGTATAAGCAATTCAATACAGAACTTCAAACATTTTAGAGGTGTTTGAATCAGGAATTCGCACTGGTACAGAGAGACCAAGGAGGGTTTGCATACAGCAAAGTCTAAGATGGATACCTTCAAAATCCCCTGCAACTTCTGAGGTTGATGAGAGGGCCTAAGGGAGCAAGAATCACTACGCAAACAACTACTGCACGAAAGGTATTCGGCGTGCCAGCCAATAAACTAGTGCAATGCGATTGCACAGCAAATCATAGTAGCATGTAATTTTGTAGTCACAGTATCAGTGCCCGGGCACGGGGAGAAGGGACTCAAACAGATGGGGTTAGCACAGGGTTAGTCTTGCCAGCAGTGCAGTCACTGCACCATAACCACCAGCACCTGTGAGTGCTGCTGTTGCTGCTGCTAATGCTCCTACTGCCAGCTGTATCAAAGCCAGTTGCAAGCAGTTGCTGCGAATCATGCCTTCTTGATGCCTGCAGGCCTGCAGTTCACGAGTTGCACTTGTTCTTCTGACAAAAGTGACATGCTGCATGCCTCATAGCCGAGCTCCGCTTCTTGCCGCTATCCTCCTTGTACTCCTCCAACCTTCCTTTAAACCTCCCAATCCTCCTTCAGACCTCCAAACCTCCTCAGATCTCCGGGTCCCAGTCCCCACTACCGTCCCACTCCTGCAGCTCGACTATACGAATTCGCACAAGGTTCAGCTCATATTTTGATTTCAAAAACCCTTGGATACTGCTCCAGGTTTCCAGTCTTGGTATAGAAGCGCACTCCTGCGTCAAATCCCAACCCTGCTTCTACATCCCAACCCTGCTTCAGCTTCCAGCTCTGCTTCAGATTCCCAACCCTGCTTCGGATCCCCAACCCTGCTTCGGATCCCCAACCCTGCTTCGGATCCCCAACCCTGCTTCGGATCCCCAACCCTGCTTCGGATCCCCAACCCTGCTTCGGATCCCCAACCCTGCTTCGGATCCCCAACCCTGCTTCGGATCCCCAACCCTGCTTCAGCTTCCCAACCCTGCAACAATTCCCAAACCCGTTTCAGACTAACTAGCTCCACGGAATGCAGCGGCGGCGCAGCAGGAGTTCGGACATGCGCACATACGGGCACGGCGCCGCAGCTGCTGCAGCAGCTACTGCCATTCGTGTGGGCGCAGTGCAGTGCAGCAGCACAAAGCCCACTCTACGGACTGCAGCGGCCGCGCAGCAGGCGTTCGGACATGCGCCCATACGAGTAGGGCGCCGCTGCAGCTGCGGATGCTGAAGCTGCGGATGCTGAAGCTGCGGATGCTGAAGCTGCGGATGCTGAAGCTGCGGATGCTGAAGCTCGGCCACGATCAGACGTCTGTATGGGCGCAGCGCAGCAGGGCCAAGTGCACTCTACGGACTGCAGCGGCGCCGGAGCAGCCGTTCGGACATGCGCACATATGAGTACGGCGCCGCCGCTGCTGCTGCTGCTGCTGCTGAAGCTCGTCCACGGTCAGACGTCCGTGTGGGCGCCGCAGGGCGAAGTGCACTCGCTCTCCGACTGCCCGCCGAGCGAGAGGAGCGCGCTGCAGCAGGGGAGGGCCATGGGAGGGAAATGAAGAGGGGGGGAGGGGGGAAGGTGAGACAAGGAGCAACAGCAACGGAAGCAGCAGCAGCAGCAGCAGCAGCAGCAGCAGCAGCAGCAGCAGCAGCAGCAGCAGCAGCAGCAGCAGCAGCAGCAGCAGCAGCAGCAGCAGAAGCTGCTATTGATGATGTTGCTCGCCCGCAGTCGGACGTCCGTGTGGGCGCAGCGCAGCAGGGCGAAGAGCACGTGCTCTCCGACTGCCCTTCGAACTCGGAGAGCGAGAGCAGGAGGAGCACGAGGTGGCAGGGGAGGGCGATGGGAGGGAAAACGACGGGGAGGGAAAACGATGGGGAGGGAAAGATGGGGAAGGAAATATGAGGAGAAAATGTGGGGGGAGGAGGGGGGCGGGAGGTGAGGAGGGAACAGCGAGGGGGGAAAAATGAGGTGGGAAAGATGAGGAGGTAGGTGAGGAGGGAAAGATGAGAGGGGGGAGATGAGGAGGGAAAGGTGAGGGGGGAAAGAAGAGGAGGGAGAGATGAGGAGAGAGATGATGAGAAACCCTACAGAGGGGCACAATGAAGATAAGGCACGACAGAATCAAGTGCTGGCTCACTCAGTAGACAAGACCAGCGGGTTGAATCAAAACACCAGGAATGAGCAGGGCACCGACCTCAGCTAATTTTTGAGAATTCTCAAACTGGTTTTTGAGAATTCTCAAAAACCAGCTCAAGACAGGCGGGTTGAATCGAAACACCAGGAATGAGCAGAGCGCCGACCTCGGCGTGCAAGGAAACAAGCTACGTATAGATAGAATCCCTGGCCTGGACACAAGTTCTCCTAACCTCAGGAGACGACATCCCATAATTACCTGCATTTGGAAAGTCTCAGAAGTCCTTAGCAACCCCGCAGTGCACAGATGTACTAAAAGATTAAGATTTGACCCTCGTTTTCCCGCCCCCTGTTTCCCCCTTTTTCCCCCGCCCACCCAACCCATCCCCCCCTCCCCCTTCTTTCAAGTCCGCATGCCCTCACCTCGCAGCCACGAGTCAATCTCGCCTCGGCGCTCCACGTCCGTTGAGAATTAACGACATAGTGATAAACCACCCCATGGCCACCAATGCCCACCAATGCCCACCACCCCATGGCCACCGCCCCAAGCTCACCTCGCGACCACGAGTCAATCTCTGCTCGGTGCTCCACGTCCGTCCACTTGGCCTCGTGTCCAAAGGGCGGCCGCGCCCTGCACTCAATTGGAGAACGGGTGACGAAAGATTGGGCAGGAGATTTTGGGCGAGGAGAGATTGGGCGGGGAGAGATTGGGCGGGGAGAGATTGGGCGAGGAGAGATTGGGCGAGGAGAGATTGGGCGGGGAGAGATTGGGCGGGGAGAGATTGGGCGGGGAGAGATTGGGCGGGGAGAGATTGGGCGGGGAGAGATTGGGCGGGGAGAGATTGGGCGGGGAGAGATTGGGCGGGGAGAGATTGGGCGGGGAGAGATTGGGCGAGGAGAGATTGGGCGGGGAGAGATTGGGCGGGGAGAGATTGGGCGGGGAGAGCTTGGGCGAGGAGAGATTTGGCGAGGAGAGATTGGGCGGGGAGAGATTGGGCGGGGAGAGATTGGGCGGGGAGAAAGGTTCCGACGGGATTGGATGATAAGAGATTCCTAAATCTGAATTTAGAGCAATGCCCTTAGAAGCACTGCGGCGTAGAGAAACGGGCCCAGCCGTTGGAGAACAAAAACACATGCGAGGAAATCTCAGGCACAAATGCCTCTGCATTCACCAAGGAGTTGCCAAACACCCAGATCTGGATATTTCCCTAGATAAAAGAAAAAAAACCTGAAGAGAGATGAAGCTTTAAAGCTCCGGAATTTTTCAGATTCAGACCCTGTCACCATTGACTAACGACTGGTCTAAACCCATGGCCTTCAATTGACCGATTAACTCGGCATCCCAACTTACCCATCATCATCGTCGTATCGTCGATTGCACTCCCGAGCCTCCTCATCCCCGCTAGCGCCAGCTCCGTTAAAGACACAAGGCGGGCCCGCCCACTCCGGTACGCTAGCCTGGAACATGGGCCCTACGCGCGTGTAGCCAACCGGAGACAGCCACGTGCGCTGCAGCAGCCAATGGCCTTTGTGGTCTGCCACGCTGTCATCCCCGTCGTCCCCATCCCTTCCCCCGCTGCCTCGCTTCTCGAAATTCTGCAACCATGGCTCTTCGTTATTGCCCTTCCCTCTACCATTCGTTTTCGCAACGTTACCACCGCTACCGCCGCTGCCGCCGCTGCCACGCTTCTCTCCTCCCCTTCTAACGCCGACCCGCGACTCCGTATCCCCACGTGGCACTAGAACCACGTCATCACCTCCGGATACACCGGGTTGCACGGGTGCCACGTCCGCTTCCAACAAAACCACGTCATCATCCCCATCCTCGATCAACTGCTGCTCGTCATTCAACGGTGTCCTGACGTCCACGTCAGCTATCCGCTCGTCGGCTACCCGCCCGCCGTCCAGCCGGTTATCTGCCGGCTGCTGGACCGCTGACCGTCTATTCTCCGCGCACTCCTCAGCCCACACGACGACGACCGTCGCTTTCCGCTTCTCCTCCACTTCGCACAGATCGCACACCCACTCGCCGTCCTTGTCCACGTGGACCTCCTCTCCGCGCGACGCAAGACAGCGAATGTGGTAACCCGCAAAACACAAATCGCACAGTACCGTGCTTTCGTTCTCGTCCTCGCCGCAGACCAAGCATGGCGACGCCGCGGCAGATCCATCGCCAACCCTCCCCGGATATGCGGCTGGGAGTGGCCCTTGAACAGCCCCATCCTCCTCTGTGAACCGCTGGATTTGACAGGTGGCGAGTTCCCGTGGACTATCAAAAGTAGGCTCACGTGGCGGTAGGGTCTCAAAGGCGTCGGCGACAGGGACTAGCGCCACCGGAAGTGTCGTGCACATCGCCGGAACGTCGCAAGCCGGTTCCTTGTAGTCGCGATGCGCGTCGAGAAAAGGCCGGGAAAAGCGCTGCTCGCAAAGCATCGTTCCCAACCCAAGAGCAGCAGCTTCCAAATCTCAGCTTGGACTAAGCACGAAGGGTCCAATTAATCTCCAAAAAGCCTTGGACTTAGCCAAGCGACCACAAAAACGTGCGGATCACGCCAAATTTGGCGGATTGCGCAGAGTCGCAAAGTTGCGGAAGGAGCTGCACAACGCGGAAAGAGGTAAGAGAAGGAGAGTAGGAACCCAGAAGAGAGGCAGAGCTAAAAATTACAAGATTCTAGAAGGCTGCCTGGCAATCGACTCCCGCTCAACCTAGATGGTGAGTCCCCTCCCCACCGACCGAGAGATTACTGTACGGACCAGGTTCCCCCTGTGGTGCTAGAATCGACGCGAGGGAGAGGGAGAGGAGAGTCCGAGAGAGGGCATCGAGGAGGGGTTTCATCCACAGCACTCACGCGATTCGCGAAGCTGCATTTCGCGAACAGGCGTCTGCGAAGCCTCGCCGATGTCTGACGTTACGCGCCACTGACACGAGCGGTGCAGTGGCGCAACGACACGTGTCAGACGTTACACATTCTTGGGTCACGCAGCTTCGAGTATTGTTTCGCGACCGCGATGTCTCCCCACCGCGGCAGCGGCCAAAAATGGTTATCGTTTCAAACAACCCCTTTATTCTTCAGGAGAAGACGCATTAAAACAAGCCCTACAATTCGAAAGAAGGGGAGGGGGCTTTTGGATATTGGCAGTCAGCGCCTACTCCTCTTCAGCCTAGAAACGCGAACCCTAATTCTTGGCCTAGAAGCTTCAGACCAACAGTGCCTTGCGAAGTGTAGCATTTATAGCAGTACGCGTTAGCGTTGTTAGTGGATGAACGGGAAAGTCGAAGCGAAGTCCTGAACATACTGGTTACCTCGAGACCCACGCGCTTGGTAGGCGCGGATGGCGGAACAAGCAGGTGACGCGAATCCCGGCAATATTCTCGCAGACGTAGACGGCTGCCAGCTGGCCACTTCTGGCGGCAATCCGTCAACGGCACCCAACCAGTCTAACGGTTTTCCGATGGAAGAGCCAGCAGACGGGCAAGGAGACGCGGACGTGAAACCTGCGAGTCGGGAGCCACGTGTCGTTCGGGAAATTGACGTTTTCCTGATGCCACGTGTTGACGATCAAACCAAGGCATGTGTTGAAGTTCGATTTTTCCGTGTGCGACCATCGACAACTTCACTACGTGTTTTCTATTCTCAGACCACCCGCGCTTGGTCCAGGCGTCCCCCCTCCGGTTCTGGCACAACCCACCCACTGTCATCTGAGACTTGCCCTAGTCGTTTCCTCGTGAAACGTGTTTTGAGGCGCCTCAAAACACACCCACCTACTGACATATCATCTGAGACTTGCCCTAGTCGTTTCCTCGTGAAACGACCATGCTCGTGCCTCTCCGAGCATGCTCATGCTCATGCTCATGCTCATGCTCATGCTCATGCTCGTGCTCATGCTCATGCTCATGCTCGTGCTCATGCTCATGCTCATGCTCATGCTCGTGCTCATGCTCATGCTCATGCTCATGCTCGTACTCATGCTCATGCTCATGCTCGTGCTCATGCTCATGCTCATGCTCATGCTCGTGCTCATGCTCATGCTCATGCTCATGCTCGTGCTCATGCTCATGCTCATGCTCATGCTCATGCTCATGCTCATGCTCATGCTCATGCTCATGCTCATGCTCATGCTCACCTCTCCGTCTTGCCTCTCTTTGCCTGACTCCACACCATCCCCCATGCCTGCGCCGTCCACCCACTCCCCATGCCCGCACCATCCACCCACTCCCATGCCCGCACCATGCCCCATGCCTGCACCATGCCCCATGCCCGCACCATGCCCCATGCCCGCACCATGCCCCATGCCCGCACCATGCCCCATGCCCGCACCATGCCCTATGCCTGCACCATGCCCCATGCCCGCACCATGCCCCATGCCCGCACCATGCCCCATGCCCGCACCATGCCCCATGCCCGCACCATGCCCCATGCCCGCACCATGCCCCATGCCCGCACCATGCCCCATGCCCGCACCATGCCCCATGCCCGCACCATGCCCCATGCCGGATGCCCTATGCGCCATGTCCCATGCCCCATGCCCTCTGCCCCACACCCCAGCGCAGCTATACCTGTTCCAGTACCCCCTGCGGCCTGCCTGGCGCCCCTACGGGCTGGAGGAGCGGTGCCAGGAGGTGAGATGCGGTGATAGATGAGTGGCGGGCGGAGATGAGTGGTGGGAGGAGATGAGTGGTGGGAGGAGAGGTGTCAGGAGGAGACATGAGTGACGGATGGGAGGTTATTGATTTGTTTAGGCGTGCCAAATGCGTGTGAAGTGAATCTCAAGGCATGTCTAATGCATGGAAATTCATGTCAAAACACATGGCAAATCCACTCCAAATGCATGTGGATGGAGTGCAGTGTTTTGAGACGTCTCAAAACAATTCATGTCAAAACACGTGGCCAATCCACTCCAAATGCATGTGGTGTGGATGGAGTGCAGTGCATGTCCAATGCATTCAAATGCATGGCAATGGCATGCATGTTTCATTGTGTGTGTGTAAGCACTCGCCTCAATAATCGTCTCAGTTCACGCGGCGCTTATCTGTTTCGTGTGTAGGCACTCACGTATCTACTACAGCACGCATTCTCATACGTTTCTTTCTATGTTACATTTGCATTCCTTCTTTCTTGTGATTGATGCGGGTGTGGCATGGCATGGCAGATCCGGGTGCGGCCGTTGCAATCACGGGTGGAGGTGGATCTAGCCATCGATACCACCGACTCCTCTTATGACCACGACTCGGCAGACAACCTGAAACAGACCACCCAGGTAGCTACTCTGTGTCTGCCCTGACCATTGACGTAGAGCTTTGCATGACCATGCTGTATCCCTGTGGTCATACTGCCTTGATACCACCGACTCAGCAGACCACGACTCAGCAGACAACCTGAAGCAGAGCACCCATGGCCTGTGTGAAATGAGTCGTGTTTTGAGTCGACACAAGCAGAGCACCCATGGCCTGTGTGAAATGAGTCGTGTTTTGAGTCGACACAAGCAGAGCACCCATGGCCTGTGTGAAATGAGTCGTGTTTTGAGTCGACACAGAACACGACTCATGCAGATCACCCATGGACTATTTGTTTCGTCGTGTTGCTTTGAGAATTCTCAAATGATCAACAGGTAGATATGACCATCGCTATGCCATACCGTTATTGACAAAAGCAACTCCCTCCTACAATCACGATTCAGCAGAGAACTCCTTGCCGATTTTGTTCGTAGAGATTTCAGGTGTGAGAGATTTAGGGTGTGAGAGATTGAGAGTGTGAGAGATCTATGGAACCCGGCTGTGAGTGTAGATATTGAAAGCTGTTAACCATTGCATGGCAAGCTCCTTCCTCCCCTCTCTCTCGTATCCTCCATGGGCTCCTCATTGCATGCCTTCAAAGCGTCTCAAAACTCAAACAATTCCTTCCCTTTCTCAATCTCTCCCTTGCTCCTCCATCACTCTATCCTCCCTGTCAGACGCTCACCTCGTCGCAGCTGCATCTGGCCACCAACTATGCTGTGGGCATGCTGCAAGGCGACCAGGTACGTGCCTTGCTGGCTGGCTGGCTGGCTGGATAGCTTATTGGAGGGATGCCTGGTGATCCGTCTCCCTCCACTCACCTCGTCGCAGCTGCATCTGGCCACCAACTATGCTGTGGGCATGCTGCAAGGCGACCAGGCGCGTGCATCACTTGCTTGCTTGCTTTCTTTCCTTCTTCATTTCTTTCGCGTGAACAGATTTTATGCCACCCCATTCGCTGCTCCATTGCACCACCCCGTTCCTGATTCTCGCGGATTGCTGGATCAGCTGGTTTTTAGATGGCTTCTGAGGCGCCTTTTGAGGCAACTTTTGAGGCGCCTTTCGAGGCAACTTGTGAGGCGCCTCAAAAGTTGCTCCATTGCACCACCCTGTTCCTAATTCCCGTGGATTGCTGGACTAACCAGTTTTTGAGATGTCATTTCGTAAGAGAGAGAATCCATGCACTTTTGATCGTAAGAGAGAGAATCCAAGCACTTTTGATTGTAAGATGCAACGAGATGTGTGTCGTGCCATGCCATGGCTCACCCTCATGAAGTTTTGAGTCTTGAGTTTTCTGTGCCATGACATGACTCAAAACTCAACCGAGTCGACTCTACTTGCTTGCTTTCTTCTGTTTTCTCTTCCCTACTCTTCCCCCCCCCCCCCCCCGTCCACCCCACTTCCCCACAGCTCCATCTGAACCCGCTACATGCAGTGGTGCAGTTACGACCGTCATTAGATTACCTGGAAGTGCAGCAACAGACAAGGCGGAGGGGGAAATACTGATCCGTGTCTGCTCCCTCCAAACTCTTGCTCCCCCCCCATCTGCTCTTATCCCCTTCCCCCTTCCACAGCTCCATCTGAAATACTGACAAGGCGGAGGGGGGAATACTGATATGTGTCTGCTCCCCATTTCCACTCTCTTCTCCCCCCCGCTCGTATCTTCCTTCCCCGCCCCTCTTCCCCCTCTCCCTCTCCCCGCACAGCTTCATCTGAATCCGTTGCATGCAGTGGTGCAGCTGCGGCCGTCACTAGATTACCTGGACAGTGCAGCTGAGAACGAGGAGGGGGGAGTACTGATCTGTGTCTGATCCCCCTTTCTTCTGTTTTCTCTCCCCTGCTCTTACCCCCCTCCTCCACCCCTCTTCCCCACAGCTTCATCTGAATCCGTTGCATGCAGTGGTGCAGCTGCGGCCGTCACTAGATTACCTGGACAGTGCAGCAGACAAGGCGGAGGGGGGGAAGGGCAAGAAGAAGGGGGCAGGGGAGGTGGTGGAGGAGGAGGAGATGGGGGATGGGGAGGATGGGGAGGACAAGGCGGGACCCGTGGCTCTGGAGGTAAGCGATTGGGTTGAAGATGGTTGAAAGGGTTTAAGAGTGGTGAGAGGAGTTGGTCCTAGGTGCATGGCAAGGAAGGGCAAGAAGAAGGGGGCAGGGGAGGCGGCGGAGGAGGAGGAGATGGGGGATGGGGAGGATGGGGAGGCGGGGCCTGTGGCTCTGGAGGTAAGAGATTGGGTTGAAGGTTGTTGAAGGTGGTTGAAAGGTGGTTGAAGGTGGTTAAAAGGGTGTGAGTAGTGACGAGGGGACGTGAGTTGGGGAGATGGATATGGGAGTAAAGGGGGATGAGGAATACGTGTGAAAGGGTGAATAGGCGAGGCAGTGACGGGGTGAGTGTGTGGGGTAGGGGAAGAGCAGTGGAGGAGAGGGGAGGAGGGGATGATCGATGTGTGTCGTCGATTCAAAGTCATCCTTGCTGTGTGCTTGCATCGTTGCCCCAAGGCACCCAATACCATAGACCCGTGCCATATTGGTGCGACTTTTGAGAATTCTCAAAAGGGCGGGCACTGCCTGAATGCACGTATCGTATCGTATGTACGCTGTGAGTCGAGTTTTGAGTCGACTCAAAGCTCGACTCACTACACGCAGGCACTGCCTGAATGCACGTATCGTATCGCATCGTATCGTATCGTATCGTATCGTATCGTATCGTATCGTATCGTATCGTATGTACGCTGTGTTGAGCTGAATTTGAACCACACCGTGCAGTGCAGGTGAGCTTGAAGAAGAGGGAGACAGAGGAGCAGGAGGAGATGCGCCGGCAGTCGTGCTTCAAGGCGCCTCCCAGCTACGGATGCACACCGCATGCATGCTGTTTTGAAACCCCACTGTAACCCCCACTGTAACCCCCACTGTAACCTGACCCCCGCCCACCTGCAGGTGAGCTTGAAGAAGAGGGAGACAGAGGAGCAGGAGGAGATGCGGCTGCAGTCATATGTGCACATCCATGCCCTGCGCGAGAAGGAGGTCAGTGGAGTTTCTGCCATTGTGAAACCAATGTATTTGTATCCGTATTTGCATGTGTACTTGTATTTGTATTTGTATTTGTATTTGTATTTGTATTTGTATTTGTATTTGTATTTGTATTTGTATTTGTTGTATTTGTATTTGTATTTGTATTTGTATCCGTATTTGTATTTGTATTTGTATCCGTATTTGTATTTGTATTTGTATTTGTATCCATATTTGTATCCGTTTTTGCACCTGTATTCCTATTCATATTTTTATTTGTATTCGTATTTGGTTGTATTTGTATTTGTATTTGTATTTGTATTTGTATTTGTATTTGTATTCGTATCTGTATTCGTATTCGTATTTGTACTTGTATTTGTATTGATGTTCGTATTCATGCTCGCATCTATGGCTGTACACGTGAATCACTGCCATGCAAGTTTGAGTGAGAGGCATTTGCTGCCCACACACACCCCCCTCTGCTGCCCAAACAGCATTCCGCATTCCGTATCTCTCCCCATTCCGCTCCCGGTATCTCACCTTATTTCTCTCCCCATTCCTGCCCCCGTTCTTTTCCACATTCCTCTTCCCATACCTCTCAGTATTTGTCTCCTCATGCCTTTCTCCATATCTCCCATCCATCCCATACCCCCCACACCTCTCATTATTCGTCTCCTCATGCCTTTCTCCATGTCTCCCATTCATCCCGTACCTCCCATGCCTCTTCTCTTCCCCTTTCCAGCCATGGCAGCAGCTGCAGGCCTTCTCAGCGTCGAGCCACGAGGCAGCAGCAGTGCTGCTTTACCCGCTTCACCCCTTCCCATGTCTCCTCCCATTTCGCCTCCCGTTTCTCCTCCCTTCCCCTGCCCTTTCCCTTTCCCTTTCCAGCCATGGCAGCAGCTGCAGGCCTTCTCAGCATCACGCGAGGAGGCAGCAGCAGTCCTTCTTTACCCGCCTCATCCCTTTCCATGTCTCCTCCCATGCCCTGCTTTACACTTGTGCAGCCGTGGCAGCAGCTGCAGGCCTTCTCAGCATCGAGCGAGGAGGCAGCAGCAGTGCGGGCGCGCATGCTGGTGGGGGGAGGCGGGGCAGGAGGGGAGGGGGGCAAGAAGCAGGGGGGGGTAAAAAAGGAGGAGGGTGCGATGGAGGTGGATGGAGCAGTGAAGGCCGAGAGAGGGCAACCAGAGGGAGAGAGGGGAAGGGTGGAAGGTGGAGGAGCGGGAGTGGG